CAATTCTTAGAACTGAACTGAAACGGTTACTTTAAAAAACTGTCGTAGGTAAACACTGTTTATGTGAGTTTCGTACCTAAGACAACCCTAAGAGTGTACCTAAGACAGTGTTTGAATTACTAAAACTCACTACTCATAACTTCTGAGAGAGGTTATGTTTCGTTTATAACCACTCATTGACGGTGATGCAACGGAACATTGTACCAAACACTAATTAATTGCACCACTCAACAATTAAATTGGCCTGAACAGCTGATTAGTTGAAGTTCAAATTATTACATTTTACTTATTCTCCCTCAATCCTTGAACCTCATTTATAGTTACCCGTGGTGTTAAGTAATACTATGATGTTATGAAACTAAACAAATGCTGTTATGTGAAACTTTTCAATTCTAAGATGTGAAGTGAAACGGCTACTTTAAAAAACGGTTGTAGGTAAAAAATCTTTACAAAATTAAAATCAACCAGTTCCATAATCATACAGTACTGAGTTGGATGGGTGTGTTATATTTATAGTTACAATTCCATTTTCCAAGAAACTGCTGGTACAGTACATTCTAAAATAAACTATACCCTGGATCAGTCAAGTCATGTTAGCAAAACCAAATTCATACCTAATATTATAAACTATAGCTCATATATTAACAGTTAGTGCTAAAATTCATTGCAGTTGCAGTTTTTCATTGTTTGCAGTATCCACTAATACAAATTATATTTATATTGTACATTTATGTATTCCCCAAGCTTTGTAATATGTGCTTCGTAATTAAAACCTCTTTTCAGATATTAAGTACCTAACACAATAAATGAAAGATTAATAGTTTAGAGTTAACTAGTGGCTGGTAGGGACAATAGCCCCTAAATATATATTCTAGTAATTATTTTGTACAAGTTATTAGTCTCATGGGCTGCCCTACCTTAAATTATCGTTTACCATTTGTGTATATTATAATATGTACAGTAGAATAGTTATTACATACCTGCATAATGCATTTTGATGTTTGCTCTGTTAAAAATAAAAATTCCAAAGGACTGTTCAAGCGGTGTGTTTAATATACAATTTTTAACCATAAAACAACTAAGTAACATTTTCAAAAATAATCTTCATGACTATTAATTAAATGTATATAAATTTCTTTGAATATAGACAAATTCACTTAGATAAAACACATAGAGATAATGTCATCCTCCAAATTTTAAAATGCTAATTCTGAAACATATATCTAAAAACAACATTTGTTGTATATTATCCATTTTGGTTTATTCTTTGATCTTTATTTGGTTCTAGTAATAATTTAACATCATCTGGCCGCTTTACCCAGCTAAAAGCAACATAAAGTTGGTCATGGGTAAACACTGTTTTTTTTTTGTTTTTTTTCCAAATAAATGCCAACTTTTGTGAAGGTTTGGCCTTGCGCTTTTAATAGCGAAAGCTAATCGCAATGGGAATTGAATCCTTGTAAACCTAAACGGAATATTAGGATCTGTATATAGTTTGCCTACTCCAGTAGCCTAATCACTTCTAACTTTACACTTTTTTCAGACATACCTAACACAACCAATCGTACTCCATTAACTATTCCAGACCCTTAAAATTGGGGAAAAGTCTATTTCAGCTTTATAATAGTGTACATATTACGCCATGGTACCCCATGACCATACGCTTTAAATCAAGTTAAACCACATGTTTTAAAGTAAACAAAGTAGGCATGACCTAGATTCCCATGCTATTTAAAAGTGAATTTTTTATTCCGTAGCAACCTTTTGGTGCATAATTAAAAATTAATAATTTTCCCAGAAATTTCATGCCCAGATCTTTAAAATGAGACCTCTCCCAGCTTTCTACGGCCTCCCGTTCGCTCACAACTTCATTGTAAAATCTTTGGCTTACGGAATTAGATACAAATGTCTCTTTTTGGAGCTGCAAAAATAATGTAAATACCCCCGCCATAGCAAACCTGTCGACTAAGCGAATTTCCATTTGTCTTAATTGATTTTCAATTAAATATATTTTAATAACGTTAGGTTTAACGAGTACCTAGGTTTGCTGCTACAAGGAAACTAATAAAGTGTGTTTTTTTTAAATATTGATAGCTTAGTACAAAATAAATAGATTTGATCAAAATACAAAATATATCCATAAACAAGCAAACTACAACATTTGACAATATTCTCCATAAGAATAACATGGGAATTTTAAATTTACAATTTTTTTAATTTTCTCCGTTACTATTAACCGAACAAAAATACTTTTATATACTAAATTGATTGTTTTTTTAAGCTCTTTAAAAAGGTCTAAAGAGAAATTGGGAAATTTTGTGTTTTGAGGGTCAAAAGTGAGAAAAACCAATTTTTACCCCATAAAACCCCCCGTAAAGCCCCGTTCCCATGGTCCGATCATGCTGGTTCGCGAACTCATTCAAGTTTATCCGGCTTTACACCTTTAAACCAAATTTCATCAAAATCGGACAAAAATTACTCAAGTTATCGCGTTCACGGACGTATATATATTACAATAACAAAATATATATATATATATATATATAAATATATAAAAATTTGAACGAATGGTGTTTTTGGCCTCTGGGGACATCAAAATGAAAAAGTAAATCGGTCCCGGGTCTAGGTCTTACCGTGCCACCTACGGTAATAGCTACTTCCCTATAGGGAAATTCGCTAAAATGTGCTGAAAATGGTATCATGGATTTACCAATGTGTCTCGGCTCTTGGTTCTATTGAGATGTTGAAGATATAACACTTTTCTCCCAGTTCAGCCATTATTCTGCTCTAAAAGCCCATTATTCCAAGATGGATTGCGCCGTAAACGTTTGGTTACCTTTAATTATATTTAAAACCAAACTGTATATAACCTTTATCTTTAGCTTTTAAACAAATTTGTTTTTCCTAGAAGATAATTTGACTACTGTTGTAATAAGCGTGTCTTTGAGTTTTTAAGCCGCTTGAAATTAACCTTATCGATTGTATAGTTTGACATCTTCAAAACAAGCTGTAGAAGTTCGGTTCAATTACAAACACAGGCGGTTAAATTAAAGATTATTTGATTTTTTCTTGATTCCACACAGTAAAGAATGTAAGGCATTTTTGTAAAATCCATCTGCGCAGGGCGGATCACCTCACACATGTCGGAATTTTGATGAAAGACTTGTCAAGTATTGATAACACACTCTTCTCTGTGATGCAAGTACATTCAACTGTCGATGTTTTGAGATTATCAATCAAAATCCAACAGCCCCGTCATTTTATCTATTTTGTTCATCACACTAGGTTACTTGTACAGCAGTAGGCCTAAAAGCAACTTGCTTTACGAATTAGTGTGCTGAAAAGCAAGATAATTTTCTGTAGTTTTCGTGAATAAGTTTTGTGATATAAAACTTATAACTATTGCGTTTTCTTATATTATTGATAATTATTTCCAACCCCACTTAGATTTAATAGATTATTTTTTAACGGGATTCCTAATCAGTATAACAATCTTCTGGTAGTATGCAAAGGTGTAATCCAGAATGTTTTTTATTCTTAGGTATATAAAGAGTTACATGTTTAAAATAGTTCTTTTTTTAGGTATTTTAGTTCAAGGAACGGTCAGTTAAAAAGTAATGAAAAAGATAACTTAGTTTGCAAGTGCAACCTTAAATCCCAAAAATGTATCCATTTGTTCATCTGATTGTGTAGTTAAGTGCTGTATTGCTATAATATGTAGTTAGGCACAGTACATGTTCTCTAACGAGTAGCCTACTCATTAGTTTGTATACACCTCGAATGTCGGACCTAAGGTTAGGTTATTATGTTTATTTATACATTTATTAATGCACAAAATAAACTTGCTACCCTAACCTAATCCAAGTTGAGGTCGCGGTACCCCTCTAGACCCTCTAGATTATTACTTTTATTTTGATTAGAAAGTGGTACCAACTCCATTAAGCGTCGGTGAACCTGACATAAGCAGGATTGTGTCAACATTGTTGGAGCTGGTGACATGAATAAAACTACCTCGTATTATCTCATTTAATTCCAGAATATTGTAAAAGAATACGTAAAACTGCCAGACACTGGTTTATCTACTGGTTTATAGACTGGTTTATCTATGACCTAGGCCTCCATGGAATTGTTACCTCACAAGTCTTTGTATTGTGATGTGAGAAACGGAAGTCGAATCCGAATGGTCAGTAATCATTGAGATAAATATAGATTATAACTTACAGTATTTTTATTTTTATGGCTCACTCTCAGTGTCAGTAATAAAGAGGTCGTTCGTCTTTCACATGTATCTTGTCTTTGTCTAAATGTATCCTAATACATCTTGCTGTCCATATACCACACACTGTAACAACAGCAATAACATACGTGAGAAAACATTGCGCATACGCTCCATCATAGCCACCTTTAAACCAGGCCGCGGCTTTGGTGCGTGGCAACGTCACACCAAGATATCTATTGCCATGCCATGATAGTACTGTAACAGGAATAGGAATAACAAACTTCTAAACATAACATTTGCTAATACCACGCTCCATTATCAATTAGTGTAACAACTGATTCAGAATGGCGAATTGCGGCTTTGCCGTATGGTCTTGTATTAAAGGAGGCTATGATTTAATACATTAATCGTGGGTACATACTACCTTTATCCTACATAGTTCCTAATATAGCTGGGTAATTAATATTTTCGTTATTCTTATAGTTTTGGTCTTTCTTACATCTTACATTCAACTTCTCATAGTGCTCAACGGAATTAGGAGCTATGGTACCCTTCCATATTAATTGATTTTTATCCTTTGGTATCCAATTCAAAGTCAATGCCTTTGTACGTGCTATGTGTGCCAGTACTCTATGTTCATCAGCTTGTTGCTGGTTGAAAAGCGGGAATTAGAATTATGTTTTTTGTTTTGACTTTGTCGTCAAAATGTCGTCTGGAAAAAGGGGTGGTTACGTTTGGATGCATGCATGAAACCTTTTTCGGTCTGCATTGTAAACAAAAACATAGTTTTACTTTTCATAAATTTTAATAATCTAATCGCTTGCATGCTCAGTTCTGTTATGTTTTTCCCATGCAGACTTAAACAAACAAAAAGTTTGTGCTTGTCAGTTTTTTTCTTAGAACTTAGAATGAAGTACTAAACATAACCTAAACCATTGTTGTCCATGAGTTTGTAATGTAAATAAAGTAATGAGGTTAAACTATTACTATTACCTTAATATCAAAGTAAAAATTCAAAAGTAATATCCAACTCAAGAATCCCAAATCATTATGTTTGAAAATGATGACAATTTGGGCCTGGACGTTGATGATGTAAGTGTAGTTTTATCGTAAGGCTAATGTAGACAACTTAGGTCCTAAAAGCAGTTAGTTAGGCCATTGATTGAACTGGACTACTAGACTAGACTTAAATGTTTTTAAAATGTGTGTTTTTCCCCTTCTATTTATTAATAATTTCAATACAGGCCTAGGCCTACTTAATGATCGATCATACCAGCCTTTGTAAGTCTTTTTGCATCTAAAATTTTAACTGACAGGTAAAAACCGGTACGTTTGTATTATACGGAGGCCACCCTTACAGTGCCCTGTGGCAGTTAGGTTAGAATGGGTTATCATAAATTCGTTATGACTCATCTGGTATCATTAGATTCATAAGTAATGAGACGAGGAAAGTCCCACAAACATGTATGATAACCCAAACTAACCTAACCGCCGCAGCACGAGGGCTGTAAGTTAAAATAAGTCCGGCCTCCGTATAATACAAAAGTACCTACAAACCTTGTGTATATAATTTATTGATCCTTCAACTCAAACTTTTGGACCTGGAACCTTCTAAACTATATTATTAGAAATTATGTTCAGAACAATTACGATGATTAATATGTCATTACCCCTTTACTTGAGCTAAAATCGATGCAATCAAATCTAATAGATTTGAACTTGACTTACACAAACCCCTGTTAAAGTGTGTACAGTAACTTAAGTTAATAAGTATTTAGGCTAACTTTATCAATGTTTGTGTTTTGCAGGAATTTTTAAATGTAGTCTTTGAAAATGAAGAAAGGTATAACAACAATACACATGAAATAAATGGAAAGTTGAACAGTGATAGTTCAATACAATTTGATAGGCCAACTGCCCTACCAGCTCAGAAATGTTCACGAGATCAACACGATGGTCTTGAATATTTTGATACTTGTCGTGATTCATCTATAAGTAGTTTGAATACTGAACGCAGTTTTCCAGAGAGCTGTGGTATTCATAACCTTCACCACAAAGGTAAAATGAATGTCACACATCTCTCTATAAGTAAGCCTAGTTAAAAGCTAGCCTAGGTTTAATTAAGTTATGCCTCCAATAAGTTATTTATAAAGTAACTTAATAAAAGTAAAGTAGGTAAAGCTGTAACTCCATCAGAAAATAAAAAAAAATTGCCTATTTCTACAGCAAAGTTTAATTTACTTGTATATAAGTTACTGTGAATTCTTCGAATGAATGCTTTAGTTAACATGAAAAATATAATAGTAAGTTTGCATACCTACTATTCTAAAAACTACTGTTCTCGTGGGAAAGATTTGAGACCAGTGATCACGTGTCTAAATACAATGCTCTCCAAAATTTAAGTCAAATACTGTACAGTACCGGTATGTATTTAAATGGTCTGTTTTAACGAGTTTTTGGGATCGTCGGTTTGACCAGAAAACCCGTTTTCCGAACTAGCCTCGGTCTCAAGGAGTCCGGATAAGAGGGAGTGTACTCTATATGTTCATAAACAAGCAAACTACAACAGTTTATGCCTAATTATTCTCCATAAAAATTACATGGGAATTTTAAATTTACAATTTTTTTTTATTTTCTCCGTAACCAATAGGCGCATAATGACGCTTGAATATACTTAATTATTTGTTTTTTTAAGCTCTACAAAATGGTTTTGAAACTGCAGTTTTATGTTTTAGGGTCTAAATGAAAAAAAAACCAATTTTTACCCCATAAAATCCACCATAAACCCCTGTTCCCATAGTCCGATCATGCTGATTAGCGAACTCATTCCAATAAATGTAGGTTTACATGTTACCAAATTTCATCAAAATCGGGTAATTTTTCTTTGACTTATCGTGCTAACGTAGACCTAAATATAATATTAATTTGAAAGGATGGTGTGTTTGGCCCCTAGGGATCTCAAAACAAAAATTAAATGGGTCCCGGGTCCAGATTTTACCATGAGTTCGATGGTGATAGCTTATCACCTATATGGGAAATTCACTAAAAATTCATATCATGTTTTATATTATGATTATGTTGCATAGGAGAAAATGATTTTTTTGGAGGGAAAGAAAACAAACGGAAAGCTTCTCCCCCTCTGTCAAGAGCAAAACGAGAAAGGAAGTTTCCCGGACCTGCTGGACTATTACCAGATAGAGTAAGGACATTTAACATATTGTTATATTTAATTTCATTAAATCTTTGACTTTTAATATTATTCCATTAATAACTTAAATAGGTAAGAAATTTTAAATTGGCATCAATCAAATTTGCATAAAACATTCATCAGTAGGTTATGTTTAAGGAACAAGAAACCAATGTTTGTAAGTCTTCTTGTAAGCTTAAGTAGCCAGTGTCATTACTGTATTCTTTGTCTTCTAGTGATAGCTGGGTCAAAATTGTATTTACATTATTTACAAAACCTTAATGATGGTATCTTAACCCTTAGAGTGCCAGGCGAGAAATAAAAGTAACGCTCAAAAAATGCCGATGATTTTTCCCGAAGGTCGCGCTAAAAATGCCGAGCGCGATCTGGCGATTTTTAGGTTAAAATTTCGTAAAAATCGAATTTTCGATATTTCGACCAACGAAAATCGATGTATCGCATCTAGCAACTTTCGACTCAATGTTAATATATGGGTTAAAAGAATCCGAGTATTTATTCGGTTGTTATGACAGCTGTTCGATCATTACGAAACGTCCGGTCAGCCGGACGTTGGCACTTTTGGCTCGTTTTAAAAACGTCCGGTTCCCCGGACGTTGGCACTCAAAGGGTTAAATAGTAAGAATGCCAATTTTAAGACTCACCCAAATACCAAGAATATAACTTTAGTAATATTAAAATATTCTGTTGATTTCACTATTAACATTGACTAAGTTATACACAGAATTCTGTGTATAGTGAATGGTAATAACAGCCCTCAAATTTACTCATTTCACATTTAGCCTATCTTTTACAGCTTGAAAATCAAACAAATTTTGGCTGTAGGCCTACATTTAATTTGTTTAACCATTATTGTTTTTTATATCTATGTTTGTTTTACAGAAATCTCAAAGAACTCCACTAAAACTAGACAAATTGCCAGAAGCAGAATCACCCTCAGTTTCATCTTCGGTAAGTTTTAGTAACCATACCTATCATTCTTTGTCGTTGTCATTCCTTTTTTTCAGTTTAATCATTGGATATCAAATAGAACTAAAACAATTTATATCAGGATGACATTTCTTCACAAACTGTTTGGTTTGGCTTGTCAGATATTGTGTTTGCGAAGGTTATGAGTACGGTATTCCCATAATAGTTTTGCCTGCATATGTGGAAAAATGCAAACTTAATATGCAATCCAACTGCTGATCTGAATATAATAAGGTTTACATTCCTGTCAGTAGAACGGTCACACAGCTAAAAAACTAGCAGGTTTCTTAGGTTTACTGGTTAAATATAAGACGTGTTGCCTTACTTTGCCTGTTAACATTAAGGAATTTCATTTCATAACATGTCATCTTGATTTGTTACCAGGAGGAGCTGTGTTCACAAGGTCGGTTGTCAGGGTCAGTGCTAGAGGAGGGTCCTTGGCAGAGGTTGTTGACAGACCTCGGACCTCATGTGGACATCCTGGACGTTGTCAATGTAGCCAGCGTCAAGAGGAAGGCGGCCGCCAGATGCTTCGTAGGCAAGAAGGTGCCTTTGTTGGCAGCAGTGCTGCACCATCTTGATGTATCATCGGCAGATCCTTGCGTTATATTGAGAGATACCTCTGGTAGGCTTTTGTTCTGATAATTTGAGTTTTGAGGTGTATTTATTGATCAGATTTTCTCATCAATATTCTCGACCTACCCTGGTGAAGACCCTAGGGCCAAATGTTAATGTTAGTGCTGTGATTAGTGAACTTGTTTGTGTATTATTAATCTCCTGGACTCATTTTTCAATAGTTTTCAATAAGCTCCATCCCTTCCCAAATTTCTCAATAATTGATTAAAATGTTGGCACATTAATCTTAATCTAATGGAAATATTGCTGGTATTATTTGAAGCTTGTATATCCAAAATGACATTTTGCTGATCAAGACTACTACCATACCATAGTTTTACTTGAAGAGATTAATCTTGCCCAACTAGTTAAGAACCTTGCATTTGGAATTTAGATCAATTAGTCTAGTTATGTTTATTTAAAATTGAAATTTTTCGCTTACGATAATTTTTTTTTAGGAAGACAGCTAGATGTATCTTTTTGAAAGAGTGCTTTAGATAAGTAATTAATTATGTATTCCTACTCAGTTAAATTTTCTTAATTTCCTTCAAAGTTTCTAAACAGAAGATTGAATTGCACTTCTAAAATATGAACCCTTATTTTGTCCAGTCGCTAATGTTTTATGTGACAATTTCAGGAGAGATCCACGGCACTCTGCATCGTGAGGTCTGGCAGCAGTTTGCCGCAGAACTGGTGGTTGGATCAGTTATTGTAATCAGAAACGTCGGACTGCTCAGCACTGGCATCTCATCACGTAGACACTACCTTAACATAACTGCAAACAACCTGGCCACAATATACTCTGCTAATCCTGGTAGGCCTACATGAAATATTTCACTGATCAATCAAAATATTATTAGTCACTGACAAAGTGGCCTTCCTTGCACTGATTATAGCACAGAAAGAGTTGCTAATTGCTGCATTTACTTACTTTTGCCACACTCTTTTTTTCCCCACTCCAGTATTTCTACCAAACAACACAAAACAGCGTGCTTTTATTAGGCATGTAATACGCGTACGCTTGAAAATAAGTTGGCAACACGACTAGGGCTACTTGTATGAAAATAAAAATCAGCTGCCTTCTCGTTGAGTTAAGATTATTGTCTATTAGCTGAGTTCAGAAGGAGGCATCCCATGTGCACCAGCTGTAGCCATTTTAACAAATTTCATTCTGCCCAAGGGTAATCCCACACGCCATACCTGCCTGAGGGGGCGGCGCCATAGACTAAGCAACACAAGTAGACTCCTCATCCCATTGTAAATTTTGAAGCTTGTTTTTTGCGTCTAGTTCATGTACGTCCACACTGATCGCTAGTGTAGACAACATTTTGTTTCTATTATTTTAGGGTTATTTTGATGATTTGTGCTTTACCATTTGATTATATAACTAGGAGACCAGTTATTGTTTATGATTATATCGTTTTATTAGGTTAAACGAGGTTTTAAATTACTGCAATAACAAGAAACAAATTGTAAACAAAACATAACCTCTATAGTTGGACGTACAGAACTAACAATAAAATTGGCTTCAGCTGTTCCATTAGGATGACTAATCTACTAAGGGAGTATGTTTTATCTATGGCGGCGCTTTGTTGCCTAAATATAAATGTGTCAGTAGCTGGAAAGCACTGCCCTGATAACGTTCATTGTCGCATTTTGGAGGGACCCTTACCTAAAATTTCTAGTGTACATTTTTGGTGCATTTTTTTTTACTTTGTTCCTTGCATTTGACAATACTGAGGGCCTGTTGGCCATTTTGTTCAGTGATGCAATCTGTTGGTTTCTTGTAGAACTACGTCTATGACTAGAATACAGTACATGCAATACTGTACCTCTCCTATTGGATGAAAGTAAATTTAAACATTTTTGCGCGCTCACCCATGCAGCGCCTTGGCTTTTCACGCACCTAGCCTAGCCAGCCATCATACAACTGCAGCAAACGTATTAATACCCTAAGAGACCCCATAGGCTCATAAGGGTGTTAAGGTACTCATAGATGCATGAGTCTCTTGTAGATTGTGTTTTTGATCATTGATGTGGACAAAAGAAAATGCTTTCACCAATTCTCAGTTATATGGTTCAGTATACCATACTTCAGTTGTATTGTTAAAAGTTTGTGTTTAAGAAAGAAAACAGTGTTTTACAGCACCAATCCCTTGTGTGGTTCAATTTCAGAGTAAAACTGGCCACAACTTTTACATGGACAGAATGTCTGTTTTACGATTATGTAGGCCTAACTTAAATCTTAAGAGTTTGATAATTAAAATGTGTTTAATTTTGGTTTCAATTCAATTCAATTCAAATTCTCTTTATTCATTCACAGTACAAGTTTTTATACAATGAATAGCGTCAAATAAATATAAAGATGAATTATGCTTTACTTAATGCTAAAACAATCATTATCTTTTCAAAACAAATTTTAAGCTTAAGAAGAATAAACAAAACAAAATTAAATCAAATCATCTTTCTAAACTATCATTTATGATTTCTCTTGAATTCCAAAATTCATCCAAAGAATACAAAGACAATGAAAGGAGATAATCTTTCAATCTTTTTTTAAAAACGTCAAAACTTTTTTCCTCTATTATAACTTTAGGTAAATTAAATAAGAATTTGATGCCAATGAAACTACATTTCTTCTCAAAAAACTTTAATTTATGTCGTTCAACCTGTCTAGTATGCCTTAAATTATAGTGTTGAATATTTGTACTATTAGTTTGGAGGTTTAATTTTTTTACATGTAATATAGTTTCATAAATATACAAGTCATAGACTGTCATAACACCTAATTTAGAAAAGAGCGGTTTCATTGATTGGCGTTTATTTTTAATTTTGAAAATAATTCGGAGTGCTTTTTTTTGATGATGAAGAATTTTATCCAAATTTTTCTGGGTAGTTCCTCCATAAATTGCTATACCATAGGATATGTGAGAATTTATTAATGCAAAGTATATGGTTTTTAAAGTATCAATATCACACACCCTTGACATTTGTCGCAGGGCGTATCTACCTTTTGACATTTTGTCAATTACATGCTCAACATGCTTATCCCAATTTAGGTTTTGATCCAATATCAATCCAAGAAATTTTGTAAATTTTGTTTAACCATTATAAGTTGACCTAATCAACTAATTTCTGTTTAATCGTAATGTTTTCTGTTGCAGAAAAACCACAAAAATCACAGCTACATTTGCTGACATCGAATGACTTTGTAAACATAGTAGACCAGTGGAGGTCTCTAGCAGCTCCTCCTAGAAGTATTGAATCTCCGTCTTCGTCACTTTTCAACAACTCTCTATCCTCTAGTCCTGCTTTAAGTCCCCAAATTAATTACTCTCCGTGTCATAATGGTCCTAGGCACCCTGTACCACATCAAGCTTCTGTGAGGCCAACCACATTCCAAAATATGCGAGGACAAGGACGCTTACCTGTAACTCCACAGCAAAAACCCAACCCACTGTTTAGACCGGGGAAAAAATTATTTCCTGCCAATTCAAGTCCAAACACTAATCAAAATATTGCTAGAACAAGTAATTCACAATGCGCCGACAGGTTAAACCAACCAAACCCAAATTTGACAAGGAATATTATTGTAAACAATTCATTTGCATCTAATTCTGGCCAAAGACCTAGCACAAGTGGGAATCATAATTCATCCCACACCAATGACTTCAAATTTGATCCTGTTGTGTTAAGAAATATGTCTAGTGATACTTTAAAACATTCTATTAGAAACCACTCTAACTCCAATACTGGATATATAAAAGACAGTAAAAATAGTTGTGCAGCCAGCAGTCCAAGCATTATCTTATCACAGTCTTCGCAGGTAACACAGGAAGAACGGTCCGCTGTCGAGAGTATGTTTGAAGGACTCGATGCAGACAGTCTATTTGATGATGACTTCTGAGAAGTTCTAGTTTAAGTTATTCACAATCTGTATATATTTGTTAATTTACAGAAAGTATACAATCAGTTTTGTTAAGTTTCTTTCTTTATTTGAACCTGATCCAACTATTAATTGTCAAAAATACCCCCGCCGCAGCAAACCTGCCGTCAAAGTGAATTTCCATTTTTTTTTCGTTAACCTCAAACTCAAAATCATAATTGAAGGTTTAGAGCTTATTACTAAGACTAAAGTGCCTGGACGTTTTCTGAAAATTTTTAATTAAAGACAAATGTTGGGTAACAACTACAGGTAAATGTGAAGGGCTTGTTGGGGGCCTGGAACTTTTCAAGAAGTATAGACCACTACTGAGGGGAAACTAGTTGGACATTTTTATTCATGAGTAAAGGGGAATATATTTTATCAGGGCGACATTCATGACATTTGTGATAAGTAGTGCGTTGTAGAGGTCCAGATCAGTTTGAAGAACCTGACACATTGGGGACGTCATTGTAAGGATCCCCATTACGAGATGCCTTGGCATCATTGAGTGCAAGGGATACAAAATACTATCTGCTGTCTGTTTACAACCCTGACATAATTTGACGGGTGTGAAACGCTTTAAATCTTAAGTGCAAAGAATATTTTCAATGTATGTTTACGACAGTAATACGGTATTAACAGACGAGGTGAGCATGAGACGGGTCAAGGTGAATTGTAATCAAATTTAATAGTAATAGTGAATTAATTGCAATCGGCTGTTGAACTTATCATTGACTGTTTTTGTGCCAACTAATAAATGATACTGTTTCTTTAATACAAACTGCTCTATGATCTTTTACATCCCGGAAGCTCCCACTCAGGTCGGCCCCATGCAGCTGCCAACTGTAGTACAATATAATTCAGCACTCTCTAAACAGGGGTAAACTCATAATTTTTAAACCAAATTTGACTTTTTCTGTTGCCTAGAAACAGAAAGTGTACTACTCATAGATTTTTTAATCTTAGAAATAATTTCACTTAAAAATTTCCCTTCAGGAATATAGAAACCGTGTGTAGTAGGTAACAAAAACAGTAAGATACAGTGAAAAATTGCAAAAAACACTTTAATATCAATAAATATATTACAAATATGTTTTCACAATGTTGGTTTATAACAGTTAATACAAAATGACTGCGTGATTTTGAGAATAATAATAGAAACATGGGACTTTCCCCTCAATAGTTACTAAATTCAAAAATAGAATTACTCAATAATATGTTAAAATATGAGATAGTTTACGTTTGTTTTATCAACTGTTTTTTCCTGAAGACTTGTGTTGCAATTTTAAACTCACATACATTTTTAATTTTATTTAATCTTGTAACTTACTTTGTTATTACTAAAAGTTGCAGTTTCTGCAGTACAGGTTATAATACAGTTCTTTCAACCAAATCCTACATTACACAAATCCAAGCCAAAATATTTTGTCAAATATTCCGACTGTTTTCTAAACATCTAATATTTTTTCTTTGGGTTTGCATGTCACAAAATTGACAAATCGGGAAAGCAATCTTTATAGTATTATTCTTCAATTGAAGATAACCCGATTTCATTTACGACTCATTACACTGAATCTGGTCAAATCAATCTATAACAAAAACTGCTTAAACTCAGTTAATTTAAAACATCTTGAGCTATGGGAAAATTGGAGTGGCTGACAAAAAAGCATCAGTTTAGTTCCTTTATTTTGTTCACCTGACTTTATCTATTCTGACCCAGCAATATAGTCCATAGCTCAAGATGGCAAATACAACATACTTTTGTACGTGTTAATCAGTATCACCAGAGACTAAAACGCTGGCATACACAACAACTAGTATACATCTTACCATCGTCAACAAGCACTTCTAAGCGACCGTTCGTCAAATCCGTGCATTCCAAACATCTGTTTCAGAATGTGATTGCAAAACAATATAAACTCCGTGGATTCTGCGTCTGATGGTGGTTCCTCTGCACTGTCAGGACTCTTCTTCTGGTCTCTCTCCTTGGGTTGGAACGTAAGATCAAACTCCAGTGTGGGAGGTAGGAAGTGCTGCAGACTGGGAGGTACTCTGATCTGAGTCACCTTCAGTCTCTTGGACAACTCACTGGTAGGATCCGGAGAGGCAGACCTTCGCACGGAAGTGGAAGGTTCTGACATGGAATCTTGCACTGGAAACATCAAAACCGCTTTACCTAGGCTCCATATAAAATTGTTTGTTTAGCCTTGTACAATAGTTTTTTTTTTTACTAAAACCACACAGAATCCAGAATGTCCAAACTACAAGAAGTTAGTTAAAAAATGAATGGATCGAGACCACATATAATGGGCGACTAAAAGTAAGCGTGTAGTAGAATAATTCATTAAATAACTTCTTGATTAGCATTGTAATAAAATTTACGGAAAGTAAATATAAGAAACGTCTTATAACACTTAAAACATATATTTACACTTATACTGTTATGTTACTCACAAGACGGTCATATGTATAAAAGATGGTAAGTGGTGATCAATTTCGAAAGGACACTCCAATCATCATGAGGCTCAATAGGGGTCATTCGCCTTTTGGGTCTGCTGATTGGAGTGTCCAATCAAAATCGAAAATCGATACATACATCTAGTGTATTGTTGGGATTTTGGATGGTTTGGATAGCTGGTGGTCAAAAATAGGATTCTTTGTTCTTAGTCAAGTAAACAAATGTCACCTTCTTGACTTGAGGTTTCCTAACCTACAAGATCGAGAGATCAAACACGATTTAGAAATTGAGCTTTTGCAATCACAGAGCAAAGATTGCGCAGTCAAAAATTTTCCGCAACTGCAGATGATGACAATTAAATTTCTGTGATCATGGGAGGACGATGATGATGTCCAAACAATCACAGTAAACATCCATGATTTTTCTGCGATTATGGGAGATGGTGGTGATGTCTACACTACCAAGGTGTTCATCAATATATCGTCTTGGGAGATAATGATGTCCACACAACCGCTTTGTGTTCACGATTTGGCTTGATCATGATAATGATGAGGTTTCTGCAACTGCGGGAGATAAAACTTGATTTTTCCTGGATGTCAGGAGAAGGTGATGATGTTCTTACTACCATGGGAGATGATCATGATACTACCACAATAACATTTTGACATTGTGATGAAAGCAAATTACACCAAATTTATAATACTAATATAATGTAATATTGCTTATCTAACTAAATACATCTTAACATTTAACTGTATTTAGAAAAGATTTGTGAAAAATTAGTTTATTATGTAACGGGTATGATCAGATTTTTCTTATTTACTAGAATCAACAATCAAAATACCTCTTAACTACATGAATGACTGATAGCGCGCTCTACTATGCGACTTAATTCAAAACTCGGCCACTAGGGGTCAGCACTCTACGGGGCAAAACGTCTAGTGGACGAGTCCAAAGCCTGGGTACGGGGGAGTAGCGTATGGGGTGAGAGACTAAAGACCTAAGAGAAGGAGAAGACAGATGAGAGGAGCCCGGTGTTGAGTGAGGGTGGGTGCTAACAGAGTTAGTCACTGGATGTTAGCTTAAATAATTTGGATCATCAGGACAGGCTAGTTAGTGACGTGTTGCCCTGTGCTATTTTCTCAATAAATACTCATTACTCAACACAACTTGTCTTATTACTGCTACCAGTCTTGACAACTACGAGGGTGTGGTAAAGGTAGTCGTGAAACCGAGGAACAAGATGGCGATAGGCCTACAGGTGATCGACTGAACTGTACTGGACTACAACGACGGAAATCGAGGAGCAAGATGATGACACCGGTGATACAGGTGACCGATTGAATTGGACCACAACTACAACGACAGGTGATTGACTGAACTGGACTACAACTTCAACGACGGAGATCGAGTAAAGACGAAGTACCGTAACCTACGTAGCGACGCGACGAAGTGGCGCCAGGGGACTAAGGGAGTCGTCCGACCGGAGCTTCGACGCAGGAAGCGGCATTAAGCTAAGTGTTAAATTATAAGAATTCAATAGATTAATAAGAATTAGGCCTACATAACATAATAAATAAATAATAATAAAAAGACACCGTTACAATTATATGGTGTTGGGTTAAGTCGTTATACAAAAACGCAAGGCTCAAACTAAACTTTATCAAAAAATCCCAGGCTCGTACACCTCAATTTAAAACATTAATATAATTTATAATCATGTCTTACTTTTGGCCTAACACTCACCCCCAACAAAATTATATTACTTACCAACCCATAAGGTGTCAAATCAGGATCAAAGTTTTTAAATTAATCTTTACTCACATGGAATGCAACCTAACGAGAAAGAGTCTTCCATAACATTGTCATCCGATGTTTCCCACGTAAGTGGTTTATAACTGCGGGATGGTACATGTCTACTCTTCCAGTTGGTGATCTCTTCTTTCCCATAACTCAGCCTTTGAGCATACTCTAGAAAAGTTTTCTGTAACAAAATAAATAAACTAAAGTACCAGTTTTGATATGCCTAATTTATTTTTACTAGTGAACCTGTGCGGCTCAATGCCCCGCAAAATAACATATGAATTTAGAAAACAAATTCATCCTGTTATATATTGACTCGACGTCGAAAATTAAATACAGTAGGCTAATAATAAAGCCTTAGAAGGGAAGCAGTCCAGCCATTAAGTTTGTACTCATATTATGGCGAAAATAGATTTTTCCTGGCTATACCACTGGTCTAGAACTTATTTTTGACATAGAACTTAGTTATTCCGTAAATATAAACGTTTTTGTTAGGGCCGATTCCCAGATCGAGTTGACAATTATTCAAACTTTACTCGTATTATATATAGGATAGTAAAGTTTTCTAAATCATGGTAACTTTTTCTCAACTAAATTTTACTATTCCCAACATTAAAATAAAGTAGGGCCTATTAAGATCCATTATGGGTAAACTTTAAGGTACACAATCCTTGAATGAAATGTAGTATACATTAAGAGTCATAACACACAGCAATTATTATGTAGTAGACTTTGACTATTTTCAAGTAACAAACATATGTTTCTGTAAATAAAAATCATCTCCCATGTTATCCTTATGGAGAAATGTGAAACTTTAAAGGGCCCCAGGGCCTCACTCTCTAATTATTTACTTAAAAAGAAAGTTTCCTGCACAACTTCACGTTACGCTCTTTCCAATTACACCAAAAAACATGACAATCGGTTCAGTAGTTTCGGAGGAGTAATTGTCACAAAAAATCTGCTTGCGTATTAAATAAGTAATAATATAGATAAGAACTTATATGGTGGTTCAAGAGACTTAATGAAAACTAGAGAGTTCAACTGAAAACAAATTACGTAACAATTCTCTACAAATATTCGCTAAAAGAAATTTTTAGCCTAGAAATTTTGTTGGGTAGTCAACACGATAAAAAAAGCATATAGCTCAGGTATATAAAATTGAGGAAGGACTTGTTAGTCAACTGACTTGCCCAAGAAAAGAGTTCCATGCAGTTGATATAACGCTCAGAGTAAAGTTTGCAGCACAAGTAACTTAACATTTCGCCCGTAAAAGTGGGATTCATCAGAAGGAAGCAGTGGAGTTAATCTTAACTCATTAACTTGTTGTGTGCTACCTTCAGCTTGTATATCTTTACTTGGGTAAGTTAGTTGTGTATCATTTCCTTCTTCCTTAATCTACTTCATTTCTTGAAAAGCTAACAATTTTATTCTTTTTCCCTCGTCTTTTGTTAATTGTTGGTACTAGCTCTCACCGCCTCAGTAGATATGTCCCTGAGGAAGATGACTGACTGATGGAAGCCCATCTGGTCAGACAGTATGGTGAGTAGAGTGTTGGAGATCATGTAGTGGACAGTCAGCTCCAGCAACAGCTTCAAGTCGCTCTGACTACATGACGACAGCTTGGCAGCAAAGTAGGTGTCATCCTTGCCTGCACCCTGCAATGTTCAATACTTAGAGCAAAGGTCAGACAGTATGGTGAGTAGTGTTGGAGATCATGTAGTGGACAGTCAGCTCTAGCAATTACTCGGCACAGTTATCATTTACCTAAGTTTCAAGTGTCAAAACTGTAGAAGTAGAAGAACTTTTTGGAAGGCTAAATCAAAATTGGATCTCATTGAATATTCATACAATTAACTCACTTGTGATGGGGAGGCCAGTTCACTTGTACTATCAGCATTTGTCTTTGTCCTGTTGCTATCAGCTGTTGATGACTTGCTCCCAGACCGTGGCGATATTCTGAGATTCTGCAACATACATTTCATGGTAGTTGAACACAACAAGGGTATGGTGAAGTTTCATTGCATGCAGTGAGGTCTTGAGCAAACTAGACTAGTTTAAACTTTGCTTCGAGATGAATATTTTGAAGAACATTAAATCATACTGGGTAAATAAGCAAAGTCAGACTTTTCCCAGGCGATTTATGACTGAAAACCCAGGAATCTGGAAATCTGGACTCTTCATCTGCCGAATCAGTCAAGATTTTCAATCAAGTCAATCAAAACACCATTTAATCCCGATGATTTTTACATTACTCGTCCTACCAAATGACAAAAAACTAGACATTTTTTTTCAAAGCCAAGTGTTAATTCATTTTACAATTTAATAATAACATCACTTGGAAAAGTTTCTGGATGCACAACAGTGGTTAGGTTAAAATCAGTGTTGTCTATAAATAAAAAACGATTAACAGTCCATGTACACTGACTGCTTTCTGTTGTTTGAATTGGCATTTTACAGGTTTGCTATTCTTTCTATTTCAGAACTGCTTCAATGATGAATTAGGCGATAAGGCATTATAGGGATTATAAGTTAACCCTTCCCGAGCATTGGCCGTGAATCTGCTAACACTATTCTTTTACCAGCGATGGCCATATACATACACAACTCAGTCTGAAGGTAAGAAGCGTACGACCCATATATACTTCAAAACAAAACATATTACCGTAATTTGGGTATTTTAAAGTTGTTTCTTGACCATCGACAGTTACATTGGGCCATTAATTAATACTAATGTTTGATGACATTTTTGTGGTAAATTTCTGGTTGGTGGGTTGGCATCACTGATCTCGTAACATCTGTTGTTTACAAAACCGGCAGGCTGGTCATCCTCATGTTTCGCGCAGACAATCTGTTTACGTGTTCTTGAATGAAGTTAATCTAGTATGATGATTAGTGGAATATATTCAGTGCATTAGAATATGTTGTGTTGTTTATTGAAAATGACATTTAAATTGAATGGTTTGAATCAATATTTTTCATTCTATTATTAGATAAGTCTGTTTTGTCTTTTGGTAGTAAAAAATTCATATTTTTCTTATTATGATTGTTTTTATTTCATTAAAATTTTTAACAGTATATTAAAAATTAATGTTTTTCATAAACCAAATTTACAAGCGTTAGACATATATATACGGATCAATGCATTTCTTAGTGAGGGTTGAATGTATACACCGCAACCTATTATGGTCATAAAACTTGTAAAAAAATTTTTGATAAGAAAGGAATCAATAATCAAATTTAACCATCAGATGGAAGTGGAATAAAACATAACAATTTTGGAAGTGTTAATAGGCCTAATTTCTTTTGACACGGTACATCACCTGTTGGAAAAACCATGAATTTATTTTTATGTTCAACTGAAGTTTACACTTCCTCTTTATCTATTAAAATGTATGTTTATATACTGCCACGTCAACTGAGTGACCAGTTTGTTGTAAAACTAAGTTTGGTTTGGTTAAACCAGTAAAACAGTTGAAACATTTTCAGTAATTATGTTACAGGTAGTTCATATGAATGTGTAAATTTCACTCAATCTCATCATTATACCTTTGAACACCAAAAACTGATTTGAAATTATCAACTACCAAACACTCTCAAATAACCGATACTTACAGAGGCCAGCCTCTTTGCGACCATGTTGATGATGTTGATGAGAGTGTGATACTCGGGCCCAGTCTCGGCTGGAGGTCTCGGCTCCACTAACAGACGAAGCTTGAATATCGGCAGTCCCAGTCTGTCAGCTGACAGCAAGTCACTGTGTAGAGGACATGTCTCCTTCAGCACTGACATGCACTCTATCAGCATACCCACCAGTCTGTCAGGGAGAAATAAGCTTATTCAAATTCATGTTTAATAATCTATGTCTATAAATATAACAGTAATCAGTACTCATGTAATTAATTATCCTGAATTTAACAGTAAAATTAAACTGAACAACAGTAGTTTATGCATAAAACGAGTAATGTTATTTGAAATTATAAATTAATAAAAGCGTTTATATTGAGCAAAGCTAGGAAAGTGGATGGTTTTGAAAAAATGTTTTTAGAACGATCTATGACACAGCTTTTTTGGAGATTGAGTGTAGCTGTAGAGGATTAAATTAAGAAATCCACCACCTATGCAATGATCCAGATGTAGTGGGAGGAATTACACACCAGGGGTTATGTTGCAGCTGTTGTTCGTTGTATAACACCAGTCTAAAATACGCTAAGCCACTTCTCCCGACCTCTTTACGAACATTGGCGAAAGGAAGAAGTTTGACTTGTTGAGACATTCTTTGAAAAGGAGAAAAATTTTCAGAGAGGTACTGAGACTCTAATGAAACCTTTATGGACTATACAGCAGGTCAGTTATGGACATATGGCATCCTAAACTCTATTGGGAATTTAACATTTCTTTTTAGGCTAATCCTTAAGTGTTCACAAACTCATTCAAAGGAGTCATTTCACTTTTAAAAATTGACTTAAGTATTTGTTATTAAAATGAAAATGAATTTATATGCAGTCACCTGTTCTGAAGAAACTGCAGTTCTAAGTGCATGTCCTTGCCCTTCAGTTCTGGGGGAGGAAAAGTCTTCTGGTTCTGAGCCAGTGACTTCCGCTTAAGCAGATGACTGGGATCTCCTAGCAGGTCTACCAAGGTGGCTACGTACTGCTTCACTTTTACCTGTGATAAATAACAACATATGTGTTCCTCTCACATAAACTGCACTTAAATAAGTAGGATGTTCCCATTAAACTAGTAGTGAATGAGATGAATGATCACACATTATTGCAATAAAATAGCCCTTTTTATATATTTGTATTCATCTGTTAAGAAACTGTATAGGGGTGACAGCAAAGCAGAAAAGTCGTTTTTGAAATGTCTAAAATTAAGACACCAATTTAATCAAAGCATTCCAATTGTTTGATTTTATGAGGTGTCGACCAGTTTCGAAATAAAAATCTGCGATTTCTCAGTAAACTATTGCCGTGAAGAATTATCAGCAATATACATAGTTGTATCCCATAAAAATTATCTGTTTAATGTCTTTTGGTTTAGAATTTTGACTAAATATATGATTTATGAATGTAGGATATAAAATAAAACTATTGTATTTGTATTTCCATTTTTACTTTTTATTTCAGAATTTTATTTAACTATATTTCTAAGGCTTTGGCTTTAATACAAATTAAATAGAATGTCTTTAAATTTAAATTAAGTTTTTTATAGGAGATATAGTTAAGCCTCAGGACTTAATATTTTCACAGAACAACAGAAGCTAGTTGAATTTCATCCCATGCAAAAAAAAACTTAATCAGCCATTTTGTTTTCCTTAAAAAAATATGACTTAAAATTTAAATTAAATACAGTAAATCGTTTTAACCCCTAGTAAAATTATAGATATTTTAGTGACTTCTCCGAAATCGCCAACTCTGTATTGCGTACAGTTTAGAGATACAAGAGTACAAGAGGTACAAGAGTTTGGTTGTGTTGCTAGCCTAGTGGTTAGCGTCTCGGACTTCGGTGCGGGAGGGACGGGTTCAATCCCCGGCACATCCACTAAACATTTCTCTCGTGACTCTCTCGTAAAATGCCACTGGCGTTGAAAAAAAAAGAAAAAAAGAGTACTCACAAGTATCCTAGACAAAGTAGACTTGAGTTTCCAGTTCCACGGCACCACGGCCTGGGTCACATGCCACAACAGTCTCAAGGCCGAGGACACAAGCTCCAGGGCTGTCTCCTTCAGAGAGTCGTCTTTCTTGAATAGCATTACAATTAATTAAAATTATCATCACATATACAGGTAGACGAGTTTAATCCAACCAATGACATTATTGTACTCAAGGCTACTGTTTCTGATAGAAGGAAATACCTCAAGGAAGAAAGTGTACACAATTAACAAAACAAAGAAAAGAGTGCCAGGCCAGGCAGTTGATAGCACACAAGCATTTCACAACTAATCTAAATACTTCTTCAGAAGAATTAGGTAGTTTATTGTTGTTTTTATTAAAAGATGGGTGAAAGCCTCTTTAAACCTTTTATTTTCCCATCCACATAGGCTATGGACCTGTGTGTGGAATGTATCCAGCTAAGCAAGGGGTGAGCCAGTACACAAGGGAAGACTGTACTGATAAAAAGTTGTGACAGGTACCAGGATCTGAACCAACGACATGCCTTAGGTACGAAGTACGTGGTGTTACCGACTGAGCCACCAACTCACCTACATGTGGCCAGGCTCTAATCAGCAAACTCTACATATCAGCCTATGGTTGCCAGTTGCCTTTGAGCTTCGGTGTGTGGTACTGTCTTAAAGTTGCTAATGTAAAAAAAGGAATGAAAAATTGAAATAATTTATAACATGATCATTTACAGTACTGGTACTCTCTTTTCCAGCATTCAGTACTCTTTTTCATAAATTGTTGAAGTAGTTTACTCATCAGAATTTCTTTTCTTTGGTAAAAAAAAAAACAAATCCAAACAGATAAACCTATTTCTATTTGCCTCTTATATCACAGCTTTTTACTCTTTATTTTTTAACAGGATTGAGGAGCAAGACACAAATTCCAAAGAAATCTATTCCTCTTTGCATCTTCAATTACAAAACGTGTTACTCTCTCGAGAGGCAGAGGTACTTACAAACTCAAATATATCACAGATGAACTTCTCGTGTTGGTACACAAAGTCGAAGCCCAGTTCCTGCGTGGTGGTACAAGAGTGGCTGACCAAGGCTGACACCAGGTTGAGAGCTCGCATGTACACGGGGAACCAGTTGGTGGCCTCAAACAGCGACTTCTCCTACAAAACCAATAGATATTACACTACCTTTCAGCAATGCATAAACTGGTAAAATTGTTTTAAATCAAGTAAGGCCCAATTCACACCGAACGGACGTCGGGCGGAGACGTGGCACGGACGAGGCACAGACGTGGCGTGTTCAATGCACACCGAACGGACGGTACAGTGGCGAGACAACCTGTATGTAGACTAGACGCTTTGGGTTTTTGCTTATATCTATTAATGTCAATGGTGCTAGTTAATTTCTGTCAACTTAATTAGTACAAACAAGGGAATTGTTCTACTTCCTCACAAAATTTGATATTAAATTCAATGTCGTCTCGCATAGTGAAGAAACAACTCACAATCTACTCACAAAAACAACTCTACACAATAAGGTTGGTAAGGGTAAGTACAAGCACACTATACACAAGAAGGTTGGTAAGTACAGTACATATTTGCAGTCCGAACAACGGGCGCGCTACGGACATGCCACTTCCGATACGCCACGAGGGACGCCGAAGCGACGTGGCGGTGGCGGGAGGGCGGCCGCCCGCGCCACGTCACTTGTGTGTGCATTGACCAATTTGTTTACATGGGGAGGCGAGGAACGGACATATGTCCTCGCCACGTCCGTGCCTAGTCTCCGCCCGACGTCCGTTCGGTGTGAATTGGGCCTAAGAGTAAGAGGTAAGACTTTAAACTATCTCTAAAATTAAGTTACATAATACAATTCAGTTTCGTAATGTTAAATACATTGCCCTACAAGGAAGTCAGCAAATACAATGGTTATGATGGTTTAAAATGCAGAACCATGATAGTAATTTTTAAGTCCCTAGAGGCCAAAAATCATTTACATTAATTTTATTTGACAGGCCACATGCTAATTAATATTGTATGTCTGTAAGCACACTAGCTCAATTATATTTCAATCAAATTCAATTTTATGCACACATGTAAACCTACAATTACTCAGACAAGCTTACAAAATGGCTTTAAAATCTGATCATGTAAGGGAATTTGTTACGGAAATTCTCTTTTCTTCAAAATATTTCAAAATGTCTGTTTCTTACCTCAAGGCACACTGGAACTGGTCCAAACAAGTTGTGTATGGGAGGTTTGAGACTGTCCCAAGCTGTGTGTAGCTCTAGTATGTCTACCTGACGGAACGACCACTCATCATCCTCTGTGAGCAGTGACAGTAACTCCAACATCAGTAGGCCAGAGTCTGACATTTCCTTGGCCTGTCACACACACACATTTGAACTTATCAATAATCACTTGAGGTCTGCGAGCACCCGATATTTTCGGGTTAAGTTGGGGCTGGAAATTTTGTGCCAAGCGTGGGTAGGGTCGAGCCAAGTTGTTATTTTTGCGGTCGCAGAAGCATCAGTGAAGATGAGCGATAAAAAATTGACGGTTTCAATGCAATCGCAGATGATGTTCACAGTTTTGCCGGGATTTTAGGAGATGATGTAGTTGGGACCACAGAAGATATTCTTGACCTTTCCGTAACGGCAGAATTCGTTCACGATTTGGTAGTGATCGCAGAAGACATTCACAATTTTGTCATGACCACTAAAGACTTTCACAATTTCGTTGTGATCTCAGAAGATGTTCTTGATTTTGCAGGCACCGCAGAAGAAGTTCCGATTTCACCCTTATCTGATGTGCAATATTGAATAGCTTGATTGTAGTATTAAAATTAATACTTTGTTGAATCAATACGTTTCCAAAGCAATACGAGACATGAGGGCCAACATATAAGACCCGATCCGAAGTAAAAAAGTCTGGCACACAAACCTAAGTAAAGACATTCAAGCATCGATTCAAAGTTGCCTTCACTCATTTAATATTTGGCAGTGTCAATCATTCATTCATATTCCTTTGACTACCAAAATCTGTGTTTACATTACCTGCAGGGCAGATGCCGCAGCCTCGATAAGTTGTGAGGTGACATGGTGTTGAGACACCAGACCATGCCACAGCCCAGGAGACTGCTGACCTACTGTAGTGCCTAGTGTGATGGCCAAACACAGCAGGGAAGGCAAGATCTGACGCGTCCGTTCACTCTCTCTCTCTATCAGACTGCTCTCTAACTCTTTGCACAGAAGTAAACACACAGCTCGGACTATTCGCTCATTGTGGATCTCCCAGTCTGTACCTGGAATAAACAAATTTAGTTATGGACTCTCTATAGTTTATTTGTTATAGTCAAAGAATTTGTTTAGAAAAATACAATAAAAAATCTTTTAAGAAGTTGTTCATTAAATTAAAATAATCTTAAATAAATATAGGCCTAAATTTATTTAAATATGCAACAATTTTTATTATAAAATAAAATACTTTGTTAATGTAGGTCAATGAGTGTTGACAACAATGGAGACAAATGAACACAGCCCCCCCCCCCCAATGAGAAGATTAACCCCCACCCTCCAAAAAAGATAAGAATAATGTTAACCCTCCGAGCGTCCATCGTCGAAAAATCGACGCGCTACACACTTTGTGTAGTGTCACGCGTCGATTTTTCGACGCATGAACATCGTTTACGGCGAAGGCTCTATGACTGATTGAACTGGATCGAGTTAGGTATCGTTCTTTCCGTTATATTCTAAGCTTTCTCCAGAGGTCTGTCTCAGCGCTGTATGTTCTCCGAGCCGATCTTAATTGTAGCAGACAGCTGAAGTGCGTATTCGTAAACAGCTTGGTTATCCTCGGACCGATGACTGATGTGTTTTATTACGTTTATCATTGTTTTAGTGTTAAAAATCAAAAGTAGTGATATACGTGGTGCATTATAAGAAGATTTAAGTGATTTTGAAGGGCTGGTTGATGATCCTGAAGAAGTAGGTAGTGATATTGATGTAAATTATCAGCCAGATTTCTAGCTATGGTTAGGCTATGCATTCTTAGCTAAACGCTATGTACTGAAATCCGTTTATCACTCATAACTTATTTATTTTATAACTTACCTCACTATATGATTATATATTTGTAATCCTCATTAAATTTAGAACAAAATGGCTATTTTCAAATATTTATAGGCCTATAATTTATACAATATCATTGAGCGCGAACTTATTTTTTTTTTCAATTTTTCCAAAATAATTTTTTTTTTTACCTAAAAAATTTTTTTGAAACAAATATTCCTTATGTTTTATGTATGATATTGAAGCCCATGTTTTTCCAAACAAAATGGTATATAGAACATTAGAATTAACATTGTTTTAAGCTTCTCAGATCCGTTTTAATAAAACCTTGCAAATGCGCCAAAAATAGGTGGACATTAAGGCCTAAACTATGGACACTTGGAGGGTTAATATATTTATTTATGATTATAAGTTACACAAGCTTTTTCTGAGCTATGCAATGGAAAATTGAATGTAGGTGAGCTATGAGAGTTCAAAACAAACAAATACATATAAATCCTGGTCTAGAGCCTTTACTTAAAAAAAAATACATTTAAAGCTTTGGGTTCTTATTTTGAGCACCCTAAGCCAGCACAAATTTTATGAATTTCATTGTAGATATTAGCCTCCGGATTGCAAAATAATATTAAAAAGGTTCAAATACCTGCTATTAGGCAATCCAATCTAGTTGCAAACACAACTAGTTTCAACTCCTATGTGGAGCCATTATCAGGCTGTACAAGGATCTTTTTCTTTCTTCATACGAAGAACATCATATGAAAATAACTTTTTAAATAATGAAAATAAAACATTTAACACGACACAAACACAAATACGAAACATTTATGGTAACTGATTGACGCTCTTCTTATGAAGAAAGAAAAAGGTTCTTGATGATGGCTCCACAAAGGAGTTGAAACTAGTTGTGTTTGCAACTATATTGGAATGCCTAATAGCAGGTATTTGAACCTTTTAAAAATCTGATGAACTGTGTTCACAAGACACGTCTAATCATAACTATTTTTAAATGACAACATACTTGATATGTTGGCTTGTGAGAATGTTGTACACTCAAAGAATCTACAGCAAGCAGCCAAGATGTTGTATGTAGCAGAGTCTGTAAAAAACTTGTAGTGATGAGCAAGTTGGGTCAAAATTGATGAAATCTTCTTCAAAGCCACTAAACTCTCATCCTTCACTCCTTCTCTGCAAAATAAGATTTTTGAATTAAGTGTATTGATTGATCCAGTTCAAAATATAAATATTTCAATGCTGTCTTTAAAATCACCCTTTGTTTAGTATCCTTTCAGGCTTGGTTAAAAAAAAATTATTTTTGGTTTTGGTGGCATTCAAATAATTTGGAAATCTTTTAAAATGGGAATCTCACAATTTTATCACACAATTTTAATCCCAGGAAATAATCTCAATGTTGCCGTGATTGCATAAACAATCACATTTTAGAATTGATCCAAAACTAAATTAAATAAATAAATGGTATTGGCAATTTGACACTTACTTTCTTCTGTTAGCTTGTCAAAAAACATTACCATAGATAAGCGATGGTAGTAACTACCTATGATATGTTATGAAGGAAAATCATAAAAAGTTTTTAACCGTATTTTTTACAGCAATGAGGGTTGTAATATTTTGTTTTGAGTTAAAAAAGGATGATAAAATACTACATTTTAATCAAAGTAAAATAAAAGTAGAATCAGATTTTACTTTTATTTTTTTTACTTTTATTGCAGCTTTATGGGAAAAATCACTGATAAAACTATTTTCAAAAAATAAAAAATAAATCACCTGGAGATACCATGGATTAGTATCCACATCCCAAATTTAATCCAAATCGGACCACAGGTGTGGTCTGTAGCTCTGTACACATCCACACACATATACTATCTATAGGGGGAGAAAGAAAAAAAAAATGGTAAGGATTGTTTTAAACAGATATTTCTAAATTGCATTTTGAAAAAATTGAACTCACATATGAGATTTGGGACTTGATTTTTTTGACACATACAGTAGACTCCCTCTTATTTGGACTCCTTGGGACCGAGGCCAGTCCAGATAACGGGTTTTCCGGTTAAACCGACATCCCCAAAAACTCGTTAAAACGTACTGTTTACTGTGATATTCGACTTAAATTTAGGAGAGCATTGTATTTAAAAACGTGATCACTGGTCTCAAATCTTTCCCACGAGAACAGTCGTTTCAGTACTGCCCACTTCCTGCCGATCTAGTCTGGTTAAACCAATGTGCTGATAAAAATTGTCTGGTTAAAGAGATGTCATTTCCGCCGAGTGTCATAAGAGGGAGTCTACTGTACTAAAATTCCTGGCCTAGCAGTAGTATTACTTACAATTTCCAAGTGGTGACCAACAGCAGATAGAGCTCTGCCAGGTTGCTGATTGCCAACATGTTCCCTTGTCGGTTGATTTCATTCATCAAAGCAAACAACGTGTGAATGCACAATACATGCTTCTGTGAGTTTGACTTCTCTGAACCACCTTCTTTCTCGTCTTTCTTCCACAGGTCAGGGAAAGACTTGACAAGAACATAGATGAATTCCTTCCAAGCTATCAAGTTCTTGGTGCTGTCCGCCGTGTGGGTCAGGTTAGCTTCATCTTCTCCCAACTCTTCCGGCACAATGCCACGAGACTGGTCAGTACAGTACTGCAACAAAGAAATTGAATTTTGTAGTCAGTAACATGTTTTCAAAGTCAAAGTCAAAACATTCTTTATTCATTGTTTTGTAGCGTAAGTACATTGAACATGCGTCATTTCTTAAAACTAATCCTTATAATACAATTTCTGTCAATAAGTACAATAATGTTAAAACACCATCATTTCTGTTGGCAAATATTAAATTTATGGCCGTTAGTTATTTTAAAACTCATCTAGTGAGTATAATGCTCTCTCAACTAGGTGTTCTTTTAATTTTCTCTTAAATTTTGAAAACTCTTGATTTGAGTCTATTATGGTAGAAATTTTGTTTAAAAATTTATATCCTATATAATTTGGATTTTTCTCAAACATTTTTACTTTTTACAAACATGTCACGTTTCATAAACCAGAATCAAATTTATATTTTGGGAATAGAAGTCTATTCCCAAAACACACAGAACATAACCGAAGGATTATTTAAGATGCATCACTAAACCTCAATCTAGGGTTGGCAAGGCTTGGAGGGCAATCATCGTAAATGCAATTTATTTTATGATTAGTCATTAAGGCAAATTATGGTTAGATTTTAAGGAAAAACTATTTAGCTTTGCTGAGTTAATTAGAATCTAAAGAAAATGGAGAGTAAAGTAAGAGACTTTTCAACTCGTACTCTCTTGAAAAGCTCCACACTAGGCAGAAATATCAGATCATTCATTTCATAGTTTTTTGGACCTATACAACTTATCTAACCATTTTGTCTGAACCTTTGAACTTTTGTCTGGTCCAAGTGTAAAATGCAAGTTTACTGGTCTCTTTGGGGAGCTGAAGTAGAGTCAACTTCGCCACAGCTGTAAATTCTATTTTAATATTTATTTTACTACAGATAGTGTCACGGTGCGTGGCTCCTCGCTGGAGCATGCGTACTGAGAGCTTTCCCCCACTACGCCTCGATGTACGGTACAGTACAGTCACGTTCAATTACTGAAGTTGTGAACTATAGTTCGGCCGCTTAGAAAACGACCTGAGCGCTAATGCTAAACCAATGCTGGAGGAGGTCGCTTTCTAAGCGGCCGAACTATAGCATCAGCTGTCAAATTAGTTTGCTTTATGTTTACGTTTTTGTATTTTTCTGTCTCTCTCGCACTGCCTCCCCTACACGCCAAGCACGGTGAAACGGTCTGTACCAGTAATGTTAATTGCACAACCTCTGCACAGTGAACATGGAATTGAGTTTAGAATCTTATCTGTACCACATGTTGCTGAAATTTCTTCTGTAGTGACCGCTAGTGCGAGGGGTGGCGACCCAAGGTAATCCCAATTCGTGGGAGCAGGCAACCAAAGTTACCTTCTTGAGTACCAGCCCTAAACTGTCTGGCCTGGGTCACATATTTTTACACCATGAATCATGATATCACAGCTCATCTACCTTTCTTTCTTTCGAAATTGTCATATTTAAAACTTTTTGGCCAAATCAGATTCCATTGCAAAATGCTCGGATCGTTAAACGTTTCTTGTTTCATCGTGGATCGATTGATACTTTTTAATTTTTTAATCACACTGAAAGCTCTCCTTGGTTGACTCCCGGATGGAACGAACGCAGAGATATCTTGATTTGTCTTTTTATATCGAAGAGATCTAATATGTTTAGGAATGGGGTGTCTTAACCTAATTAAATATTTCTGTTAGACCCGGCCCCTAGGCATCTACGCATTTGCCCCACTGTCGCCAGCCCTGACTTACCCTGTCTGTTGCATAAGTTTTGAAATGACAATGGTTAATAATACAGTTTGAAATCTCATTCGTGAGAGCAGTCCATTCTTTGAGTCTTTGGATGAATGAAACTAGACATTCCATTTTAAAATCAGAAACAGGTCACAGCTTTAACACGGCAACATGATATCAACTTCTGTTACTCATCTTGAAAGTTATAAATCTTAAAATATTTTTACGCTGTATCTTATAAATCAAAGTGCACAGGATGAAAGTATTTATCTAAATAAGAAGTAGAACGGAATCAAATCAAATCTTAAATTATTTCTCTCCTTTTGTTCTTTGATCTGTAACTTCATCGAGGTTTTGAGACATTTAGTGAGATGTATGAACTGGTTGGAACTGGCTCGATTGTAGACGAATAGGTAAAAAAATTTTCCTGACGATCGATTGTAGCTTCTCTCTCATTCGGATTGTGTATGTTCGCTTTGGAGGTCTTCCTCGTTCCATTATTAATGTTGTACATTAACCTTGAAAACATTTAATAGTAATACGAATTTAAACCAAACTGGAATATAACTATTCTTTAAAACTGTTGTTTAAACAAACCAATACACTTATTTTTTTTACACGTAAATCAAAATGATGACAGTAAAAATAATCTGTATAGGCTGTTTTTGTTAACTTAAGCTACAAAAGGTATTGAAGATAACATGGCCACTTTGAAGAGCTGTAAGACAGAAACTGGATTTTCCTCAGCCTTGTGACCAATTCCAATCTATTTCTCGTGGCCAAATACTCTAAATTAAAGAAAAAAAGAAAAAATCCTAGGAGAGGAAAAGGGTTTGCCCGTAAATGTTCTTATTTTAGATTATATGGTACAGTTTGAAGATCACAATATCATTATGTTTTTCTAAAAATATTTAAATATGAGTTTTCAAATTTAGTTAAATTCTACGATTGGCCTTGACTCTATCCTTAGTATTTGCGCTACAGTTATTTGATAAGTTACATCCATAAAAGTTTCAATACTATTTAATGTTTGTCACTTTAGAACACCATTGTGTTTTCTTCATGCATAAAAAGGATTTGATAGACAAATTCACAGAAACGAGACCTTTTTAAAAAAATGCAATTAATTTAATGAAACAAAAATTGAGAAATTTAACATAAGTAGTTTGCCAATAATTTCCAGACTGATATTTGGCTTGCGGTACTGGATGAATTAATACATTTTACAAATTTCACTCCAAGTGGCCATTCCAAGAGTTGTTTTGTGAATTCGCAACTTGATTGTTTGGCAGATCCTGCTAGAAACCTTCAGCAATGCTGGAATCTGAGGAGAATCTTTTTCCAAGAAGTTCATCATTCGATTGAGGTTTTCTTTCATCAGTTTCCTAGGAAGATTCACAAGTGTTCTTTGGTATCATGGAGGAAACAGCCTGTTTCGATCACAGAAGATTTCCCCAGAACACTATGTTGATATTCTTCATCGACTCCTAAGGCCAACTGTAAAGTATTTTTCCATGATAGAGTAAACATCCAGGATTCAATCAGAGGAATGTGCCACAACCTCTAATCACATAATCTTAACATCCTGGATTCCATACTAAGAAATCAATGTGGAAAAAGCTACGCAGAAGAAGATGAAGTCGGAGGTCTACGAACTTCTCAAGTAAGTTCTCAGAAGAGGAGTCACAAGGCAAGATGCAATCTAGTCAGGAGAGTCAAAGATTGCACAGCGATGTCTTGTATCCTAAAATCACAAAGGGCTTTAAGTCAAATTAATAAATCAAACGTTAATAACGCTGTAAACATATTTCAATTAAGTATAAGTTCCGTACTGTTAAATCTAATATGACCTCAACAAAAATAAATCTGCTTTCATGTCCCAAGGTTTCAATGAAAATGCAAACAGCCATAGAATCTTATCTGTAAAATGTTCATTTTGTGTTTCTTCAAGCATTTATTGCATCAGACTATTGAATGAGTTCAAATTAAGCTTTACTTATGGTTTTTTGGTGCATCCCTTTTATAAAGTGGGCGATCTTTCATTTTATACTATACATCTGACATCGCCAATGACACTGTATGTCTGTTTTCGTTAGTATGATAAATATTCATCATTATGTTTGTTAAAAACCTTAAATTTTCTCACCTTAGCGACGTAGTTTCAAGTTAAATCATCTTTAAAAATTCATGATAGGGATGCCATCGTTAGGAGTTTTTAAAAAGTAGTCGTAAAAGAGGTGTCTTCATCGGTAGGTATGAGAGAGGTGTCTTGATCGGTAGTCATAAGAGAGGTGTCTTGATTGGTTGTCATAAGAGAGGTGTCTTAATCGGTAGTCATAATCTAGATGTCATAATCGGTAGTAATAATCTAGACGTAGTCATAATAGGGAGGTCGCAGTCGAAAACAAGGCATTGCTGTGCAATCTTTGACTCTCCTGACTAGATTGCATCTTGCCTTGTGACTCCTCTTCTGAGAACTTACTTGAGAAGTTCGTAGACCTCCGACTTCATCTTCTTCTGCGTAGCTTTTCCACATTGATTTCTTAGTATGGAATCCAGGATGTTAAGATTATGTGATTAGAGGTTGTGGCACATTCCTCTGATTGAATCCTGGATGTTTACTCTATCATGGAAAAATACTTTACAGTTGGCCTTAGGAGTCGATGAAGAATATCAACATAGTGTTCTGGGGAAATCTTCTGTGATCGAATCAGGCTGTTTCCTCCATGATACCAAAGAACACTTGTGAATCTTCCTAGGAAACTGATGAAAGAAAACCTCAATCGAATGATGAACTTCTTGGAAAAAGATTCTCCTCAGATTCCAGCATTGCTGAAGATTTCTAGCAGGATCTGCCTAACAATCAAGTTGCGAATTCACAAAACAACTCTTGAAATGGCCACTTGAAGTCAAATTTGTAAAATTTTAATTCATCCAGTACCGCAAGCCACAACAGGAATTTGGACATCTTGCCCCAATTTTAACGAGCAGGATCAGTAGGGGGTTTTTTAGCATTCTTGGGTTTTGGGGGTATCGTGTTTATTCTTTTGTACAAGGCCTCTTCCTTTTGGTACTCGTAGACATTTTTTATAGAGTGAGCAGTCTTGAGAACCACAGCTGCCACAGTCACAGTGTAAAACATGTGATGGATCAAGCTCATTTTCACGGTGCAATTTAATTTTGTTCAAGCTAAATAAAAATCCTTCGCTTTCATAGAAAATTAAAGAAGGAAGTCTTGTGTATCTATGGTAACAAACTGTATTTAATATAATTTTGTTCCATATGTG